GATACTTGGATTTATATAACACTAATTTCAATTACTATTCCACCTCTGCATAACATAATCTTCTTTTAACTTTTACTTGATATCTGAGAGAGCTGCTGACGCCTTATGTACCCACTAGACAACTCCGCTCATCCGACAGTGGCAAACTCTCGCCACCACGTGTTCGCCTTGAGACTTGCGGAAAGCGCACTTTCGCATTTGCTGGTCCAACAATTTGGAACGCCCTTCCAGTCGATCTCAGAAACAATCAGACACTGGAGTCCTTTAAAACCGATTTAAATACACATTTATTTCGCAAACACCTTCTGGGATGATTGTCTACCATATTTTCCATTTAATGCATATTAGCTGTGTTGCTCACGGTTGAAATGGGTCGAAAGACTTTGACATTGTATGCTTGTAATTAGTTTTTGTAGTGTTGCGTTTGTTTTAAATGTGGTAAATTATAGATTTGTTTTTTGTAGACTAAGTACCGCGCTTCGAGCCTTTGGGTATGAAGCGTGTTTTTGAAATACACTTCATTAGTATTATTATTATAATGTTATCAACAAATCTTGATACAATGTCAACGGTCGCTCTTCATTCCATTCCTCTCTGCATTCTAAACTCAACCTTTTATCCAACCCAATCTCTGCTTTGGCCAGTTCCTCCCCAGTCCCAACACTCTGTATATTATATAAGAAACATTAAGCACATCACATGTCTCTCATGAGTGGTTCACATATTCATATCTGTGGCAGAGATTATACACCAACACCCCCCATATTAGATCCAAAGTCAGTGCACGTGAAAGAATGCCAGCACTCCAACCCCCACTGGCCCCCAAAAATCTACAACGGCAAAGGAGTACGAGTCAATGACGCCAGGACCTGGAAGTCTTCATGGTATAAGACATCAGATCTGGCTGAAAATCCTTACCTTCGCGTTAAGCGTTGAAAGGTCACGTGCTCGCTTGACTCGCTGTTCTTCATTTACGGTACGGGTAGAACACAAATAATAAAAAAAAAAGTACTAGGGAGCAGAGGCGTTTCTGTGGTGGGGAAATTCCGGGGGGGGGGGGAAGAGAACACAGGGAA